GGAAATATATCATTATTCTGATATATCATTATTTTGCAAGTTTACAAGCACGTGTTGTGTTTAAACTATGCATAGCTTGGTTTAGCATTATTTTGCTACTTTATAATTGCTAGAGAATGGCACATAAAATAGTGGTAACTAAAAAGACATGAAGTGTTGCTAGTACTTCTCCCACAGGAGTAGATCACTTTGAAGTTATAAATTCACACAAACATATTATTGGCCTGTATCTATTCAAGTAATATTGTTGTCTATTTAAATTTCACAAGTATTTTACAAAATATGCATCTAACAAAGTATTTTAATAATTGATTGTAGGAAGAACTTCATTGCCCAAAATCAAAGCACATATAGATTAGATTTCGTTGGACAGGGACATCGTGCGATGCTAAATGCATGGAATGAGCTACTCGCCAATGAGAAGGCCAAGTACACTGAAACTTCAAAGAAAAGGCGGGCAACCATTACAGAGAAACATCATGTTCAAAGTGATGCAAAGCCTATCATATAAGTGCTAAGTTACGAGCATGAATATGATAGGCTATAATGAGGATTATGTGTTTGGTTAACATACAAGCAAACACCTGCAATATTACAACCATAAACATGTTAATTACACACACAAATTGCCAAATTACAAGCATTCAATTCTTACTTTTGACATTATTCTAGAAATAGGCTGCTGTCCTTTCAAGGTGTTCTCTAATATATTTCAGAGGTTAGTTGGAGAATTGATGGAAGAATAGAAGCAGGATGTGAGAGAGATGGATTTGGGGAGTTTACTAACAGTTGATTGTAAACTACTAGCATTGGATGTCTGCCTGTAACTAGTTCAAATTTTTGATTGTCAATGAAGAGAACTAGTTGTTACAGATCACAAAGCAAAAGTGATAGTTAGAGATGTTGATATAGTACTTAACACACCTTCATTTAGGACATCCTTAGCTTTGTCTAATAAGAGGGGGAGGAAAGTATCTAGAGAGGTGTAGGAACTTAATACAAAGAACCTAATTGATATTGAGAAAAAATATTTAGTTAGGCAAGGTGGATACATCATTCAGGAGATCATTTATCCTGTATACAATGACCATCCTCCTTTGCCCAACTTCAAAGAATGCCCTTAGTCCTAGACGCTTGGCTATTATAGCAAACATGAGTGATCAAACATAGTATAAGTAGCATCAACTAGTGTTGGATTGCCTAGTCGATGAACTCTAATAGTTTCTAATAGCCAGGAGAATGAAAAAATCAATCGATGGTTGTATTTTTTTTTTTTTTTTTTTTTGTGGTAAGCTCTATTTTTTGTCACATTTTTATACCTGCATATTATTACTTGAAATTCATAATTGACAATTCGATCATTTTATCGTTACTAGCTTGTCTACTTCTACAAATTCCCCATCCTATTACTTGAAGTTAGGAACGACCCTCTTTTCACAAAGAACTAGACAAACCGTCAAATTTAAAGGCACATTTAAATTGAGAGGAGAAGCAAAGAGGTACTAAATAGAAATCTACTTGTAACTTAATGGAATGCTACATGTAATTGAATAAATACATGATTGCAAGATAAAGGCTTAGACTTAGAAAATTAACTTTGATATATGCTTGTAACTCAACAGGGATGTGTTTGTAACTGAACAGTTCATTGCTCATAATTGAACAAGTCCCTAATTGTAACCGAACCAATAGTTTTTTGTATGACATAGGCTTGAATTTGTAAAATAAACTCGGTCTAGATTTGTAACTGAACGGAGACCTACTTCTAACTGAATGAGTTTCTACTTGTAACTTAATAGAACACTGCTTGAAACCAAACAAATAGATGTGTTTAAGACAACCTCATACTTCAAAAATAAACTCTGATAAATGCTTGTATCTGAATGAATCTCTGCTTGCAATGGAACACTTCTCTACTTGTAATTAAACTGAACATTGCTTTTAATCAAACCAATAGATTGATGTAAGACTTAAACTTAAATTTGTGAAAGAAATTCATATATATGCTTGTAACTGAACGAAAACCAGTTTGTAATTGAACTGGTCTCTATTTGTAACTTAATGGAACACTACTTGTAATCAAACAAGTAGGTGTCTGTAAGACAAAAAGCTCAGATATTAAAAATAAATTCTGATATATACTTGTAACTGAATTAAGATATGCTTGTAACTGAAATGATACATGCTTGTAATTGAATGGGTCCTCACATATAACTAAACGCTATTTGTAATCGCACAAGTATTTTGTTTTAAGACGGACTTGAATCTGTGAAGTAAATGTTGATCTATGTTTGTAACTAAATGGAGACCTGTTTATGATTGAATTGGTCTCTATTTGTAATTTAACGGAACGCTACTTGTAAACAAAGAAATAGTTGACTATATGACGAAGGCAGAGCCTCGAAAAATACTCTAATATATGCTTGTAACTAAACTGAGATATGCTTGTAACCAAACTTGTGACTAGTTGTAACCAAACCAATAGATAATTGTAAGACATGAGCTTGAATTTTTGGAAAAAGCATAACACTATGCTTGTAATTGAACAAAGACCTACTTGCAACTAAACAGGTCTTTATTTGTAACTTAACAGAACGTTGCTCATAATCGAGCAAATAGGTGTCTATGAAACAAAAGCTCAAACTTGAAAATGCTTGTAACTAAACATATATATGCTTGTAACTTAATGTGTTGTTGTTTGTAACTAAATAGGGTCCCTACTTGTAACTAAATTGAATTTGTGAAATAAATGCATATATATACTTATAACTAAACAGGAATTTACTTGTAACTTAATGAAATGTTGCTTTTAATCGAACAAATAAATGACTATGAGACAAAGGCTAAGACTTGAAAAATAAACTCTAATATATGTTTGTAACTAAATGGAAATTGCCAGAAATGGGGTCACTAATTAATGACCCCCTATAGCCCCGAAAATAAGGGTCACTAATTAGTAACCAAATCTGAAGTCCATGCCCAATTTAGTGACTCTCTTTGTAACCAATTAAGATAAGGTCACTAATTAGTGACTTATTTGTGATCACCATAGTTGTAGTCACTAATTAATAACATATTTTGTGACCACCACAATTTTGATTACTGATTAGTCACTCATTTTATTATCATCTCAAATACAGTCATTAATTAGTGACATTTTAATAATTAAAATACTACCGATTTGCTACTTTTGTGATGGATTTGTGACCACTGTAATTGGGGGCCACATAATCAATTACGATATTTTATTTTTTGAAAAGAATGAGGGTGGTCGGTCACTAATGGGTCGTTAATCAATTATTAATTAGTGACCTATTGCTATAGTAATTAATTTGCTGCCACTAATTCCTTTTTTTTAATAGTGATATAGTTCTCAAATATGCTGTAATTTCATGATTAATGCCTTAGATTTAAATATAATACTGCCCCTTGTTTTCTCTTCCGCTCTGTTGGTGGCAATAATTGTGCTTAATTTGCTTATAATAAAAGGCAAAGGATGACTTACTTTCATGAAAGGTTTAATCTCCTTGGAACTTTTAAAATGAAAGAATTTGTTTTTCTAAAATAAAAAGTACAGCTAGAGAGCATCAGAACATCCGAAGCATGGAGAAGAAAGATGAGCTCTTGGGAACATTACAATAAAAAAATAAAATTCACCCAAATGTTTAGCATCTATAGTTGGAGGTGATTTTTTTTTGTTAAAAAAAAGGAAAAATCCAGGAAAACTGAGAGGAAAGGAATATAGAAAATTTTTAATTTTATATTTTTTCTCATATCTAATAATATAAAAGTTTTTATTTTTTAATAAAAAATGATTATATATTACCCAATCAATTAAATAATAATAAATTAATTTGATTTTCTAGTTATTTTCTTTTTTTTTCATTTTCTTTTCATATTTTTTTACAATGTATTTGATTATAGGAGTTGCCATTGATTTGCAAGTCACTAATGCAGCTCTGACATGTGAAAACGTGGTTTATCTAATTTGGTGCTTAAGCCCTAATTTCCATGCGCTGAAAAGTTGATATATTTCTATTCACTGTATTCTCCCCGACGGTACGGTTGAAGTTCGCGCATGCCCGCCTCTTTTGGCCAGTTGACACTCTTATGGCATAGGTGTTATTGCATAGCAATTGACCCATTACATATCATTGATTATATTAATTCTATTGGCTTCTGTAGTTTGACTTTTATAACATTTTATAATATTTTTTAATTATAATTTTTACGACACTTTCTTCAATTTTTTATATATATATTTTTCTAATTACAACAAATTAACTTTATAAATTTGGTTGATACTTTTATTACATTTTCTAGTATTTTCTTTTGTATGCTTATTTTAATTGATTGGTACTCTTAAAATTTTTTTTGAACATATTCTATACATTTTTATAACAATTTCTATCTTGTTAGTAGACCTTACAGTGGCAATAGTTATTGCTAATTTTTTTATTTAAACTTTTAATGGGAATAAAATTATCATTAAAGACGATAGAGTGTTACAAAAAATTAAATTTATGAGCAATATAATTTATTGGTATATAATTTTTTGTTATAAATTAAAATTTATAGTAATAATAAATATAGTCTTTCCCAGTTAAAATAATATTTTTTGTAATAAATACGGGATAATAATTAATTGTTAGTAAAACCTTTTGACAGTAAAAAGAATTACCTTGAACGTGCACTCTGGTTGTCACTAAAAACGTAATTTGATGTAACGAGCACAACTTAAAAATTGAAGCCCAAGTTGGATTTTGGATTTCAGTCCCCACTACTTAAAAAGGCGAATCATAAGGAACAAAAATGGTACCCCAAAGAGATGTTGACGTTTGTCTCAAGTGCCAATTATGCCCAATAAATTTATTAATGAGTCACCTTTTTTTAGGTAATGACCGGTGAGTTTAGTGATTCCAATTCCTAGATGAAAGGGAAATTGGCAAACAAAAGTCAATGAAATATCCCAAAGCATATCGTTTCTGAAAGGGTAAGACCTACTTTCCCGGTAGCAATCCTTTGAGGAATTTGTCCAAATTCAAGGATGAGGATCCACCTGGACCTGCGGCCTTCTCCGCCAATTTCTTCCACTCCATGGCCTTGTTCTTCATTTTCTTCCCCTTGTCCCCATCCATTAACTCCCTCACAAGCGCTTCTACTTCATCTCTTTTCACATCATTATTGATTCTCATTCCAACCTCCCATGTAGTGCAAGAGAATTTGCAGTTGGTCTGCTGATCCCCGAAAAATGGCCAGCAAATCATGGGTACTCCCGCCGACAAGCTCTCGATGGTGGAGTTCCATCCACTATGCGTTAAGAACCCTCCTACAGCGGGGTGGTTCAATACTTGTTCTTGTGGGCACCAACTTGCTATCGTCCCTCTTTCCTTTGCTTTCTCCGCGAATTCAGCTGGAAGAATAGCAGTCTCCCCCACCACGATATCAGGTCTAATTATCCAAAGAAAGTCGTGATTGCTATTGGCCAGTCCCCAAGCGAACTCCACCAGCTGCTGCTGTGACATGACGGTGACGCTGCCGAAGTTTACATAAATAACCGAACCGGGTTCCTTCGAATCTAGCCATTGGAGACACTCTGTCTCTTCTTTCCATAGATTGTAGCCCAGAGACTCCAATTTGTCGTCTTCATTTGGTGCGCTGTTTAGAAGTAACTGAAGAGGACCAATGGTGTAAATGTTAGGGAATGTGGAGGATAGAGCCTCCAAAACCTCTGCCTCCAACGCGTCGAAAGTTTGGATGCCGATTGCCGATGCTTCCGCAGCTCTTTGCGCCGATTCCGTTGCCAAATTAAATATTTCGTCGTTTGGATCAGTTGTTATGAAAAAGTTTGGAATGTCCTTGAGACGAATGTCCTTGCCCTTCATTCCCGGAATCCAGTCTACTTTTGCTTCCAAGAAACCATTCGTCAGGTAACTTGCATCTGCGCAACACAAACATGTCAATACCAGTACATGTATTTGGTATATGCAGTTGTCCTGGTGAATTGAACATATTACCATTAAAATTACAGCAATTCGAAGCGAAATGAAGGTTTGTCTACGACATTAAAAGCTAATTTCACCGTCTTTTTTTTTTTTCTTTTCTGAATTCTTCTTCTTCTGTACATCAATAGCTGGATATCCAAGTTCATGTACCTTGGAGTGGAGCGAGACCTCGTTTAATGAGAGCAGGATATTGGTAAAAGCCCATGAAAGCGCAAGCGGGAAAAGTCCAGTACACGGCAACAGGGATTCCAAGCTCTTGGGCTGCTGTGACGGTAAAGGGCATAACAGCGTCGGAGACGATGCAAGTCACCGGAGGATTAGGAGAAGGTGCAGCATCGTTGAGTTGGCGAAGGAGCTTCCGAAAGTGTGACAACATGTTCCTTCTAACGGATCCACATAGAGCAGCAACATCCTGGGTCGCATCCTCGTCGGAGGAGGGGAGGCCATCTGGAATTGTTTTAAACTGGAAATCAGGTAATCCTGTTAGGGAATCGGGTCCTCTGGCTTTTAGGAATCTTCTTTGGTTGAAGTCTGTGTTGACGAAGGTGATGTAAAAGCCCCTTCGATGGAGAAGCTTGGCAAGTTTTAGCAGTGGTTTCACGTGGCCTTGAGATGGGAACGATATCATCACGGCATGAGGCTTCTCAGCTGCTTCCATTTGCGCGTAGCTCTCTGTCTCTGTCTCTCTGTCTCTCTCTCTCTCTCTCTCTCTCTCGCTTTTTTTGGCTTTGTCTTGTTGCGCGATTTAGATAAGAGTCTCGGCCTGTTTGGTTCAGGGGATTTTAGAATAGCGTTAATGGACAAGAATGCCCATGAAGTCCGATCAAATAATAAAGGGAAAATTACCAACACGGATAATTTAGAAAAATTTAATGCGCGGAGGATAAATATCAAAAATACTAATTCGAAATATTTCAAATTAAAAATATTTATCCAAACGGTAAATTGATTCTCCAAATTCCACGGCAATTATGCCAACTCTTAACGTCTGTAACCATTACGTTGTGGTGGCTGGTCTAGGGAGTATTTGCAACAGTTTGGTAGAAACATTTTTACACTGCTGAATGAGAAAAGTAATTTTAATGTATTTATAAATTAAATTTTAGCTGCTACTTCTCTAAATCCGAATAAATAAAATTGAAAGTAAAATTTATTTTCTGGAATTGGTTGCTACCCTTTTTAGGTGGTTTTATAATAAAAAAATATTTTTAAAAAAGAGCAAAACAATTAAGTAGTAATGTTTTGAAACGGCAAAACTCATTGTCGTCTTCATCTATGACCCAAAGCACTTCTATCTCCTTCGCCTTTGTTACATTGCCGCCCCATCTGACATCGGAACTCCGCCCCAGTAGCCCTCACCATATCATTTAGTTATATTATCAGGTCTCCGCTTTACCACATCACTGTCCACTGCCATCGCATCACACCTCTACATATTATTTAATATCACATCACCACCTCAGCATTATCATCTAGCTATTATTAAATCACAGTCAACTGATTATTGTCCTTTGCCATCACATCATACCTCTGTTTCTGCGATCTTCTTTTTATAAAAAGAAAAAAATTCTTATTCAAATATATGAAAATAAGTTTACTTTTATTTTTGTCTTTCTTTTTAGGCAACTTGTTGCTTGCCTGACCTCAAACTGGGCCTAGAAAAGAGATTAAAAGCCAGCTGAGAACTGAAAATTTGGAATTGTGGTCTTCAGCCATGAGAGATGACCATTAGACAAAAAAGCAAATCAAGAAAATAGGGAAAAGAAATAATCTCAAATCAATTACTTCATTGATGGATAAAATAAATTTAACATGATCATAACTGTAGAGCTTACTTAGGAGGAGCAGCGATGTTGCAAAGGAGACTAAAGCAGTCATTTTGGCGGATGTAGAACGGTGCCGGAGAAAAGTTGAGCCGGGATGAGAAAAAAAAAAAGATTTTAATGATAAATTTGTCATTGTTTTATCACGACTCAACCTGGGTCAGTGACCGGCACTAGAATCCACGACTCTAGTCAGCTTAACAATATAAAATCATATCCAAATATCAAACAATTCATATATATGTACATCATGCAATCCAAAAGTACATATAAGATCCTATATAAGAGATATAGGGAGTACTAGAGTATAAAAATAGATAAACAAAAGGATATACATATACATCGATCGACTCGCAAAGCACAAATTTGAAACACTGTTATCTGGTACACGAACGGTCAAGTCGATCTGAAAAAATAATAAGGTGTGAGTCGTAAAACTTAGTAAATAAGGATGATACCTAAACTATGCATGGTAAGATATGTATCATATAATTAAACCAAAGCATACACATACATACATACACAGTGAGTGGTATCAATATCCAAATAACCTGTGGGAGCACAATATATAAATCCCGCCACAAGACCCCAGCCTCGTGGCTCTCAAGATCGGAGGCATCCTCCATCTCACGATCGGAGACATTACAAACATATCAGATGGCCATCTTTCAATCAGAGGGATCCTCCGTCTCACGATTGGACTCAACTCAATCATGTGCCACACTCTCGGTCGGAGGCATCTTCCATCTCACGATCAAAGCAATCCAGCCTCGTCACATAGCATGAATCCCCACATGCCAAGTCAAACAAGTATATACATATGCATACGTAATCATGTCATGAATATCGATAGCAATGTACTAATATAACTCATTGTCAGTTTATAAAACATATAACACATATCTTAGAGTAGTATAAGCCAAAATACAGTAAGAATTATAGAGTCTATCATGCCAAGAAAACATAATGTAAAATGCATGCATAAAGAGGGAATCATCACTCACAGTATGGGTTGAGTCAAAAAGTAAAGTCCCAGGTCACCTCACCCAGCTCAATGGTTCGGGTGTGCCTCTGTTGACGAATCTGCAATCAAACCACACAAAACCATCACCATCGCCAAAGTCGGCATAATAACAACTCGAAAATCTCAAACGAGGCTCAAATCCCAACTCGACACCCTGGCATGCCTTTCAAGGCATCACTACCCATCGTCGAAACCCACACGCTCAGAAACACTCAACAATTTTGCTCAACAACCTTCAACAATAATGAATTAACCTCCCCAACCCTCGAACTGGAGTGAACTGGCCTCCAAAACTCTCAAATCGGCCTAACCCCGCCCAAAACTACCTCAAACTCAACTCAATTGGCCACGAAACCTTCAAAAATGAATTCGGAAGCCCAAAAACTCTAGAAACCTTTTTGAACAAGCCAAAAAGCCTTTAACCAGTCCTGAACCAGCCAAGAACCTTAATCTTAAGCACTGGCACACAAACCAAGCCCAGTTCACTTTGAACTGGACATCCAAAAATCTCTAAATTATATGGTTAGCTAGGTATCATCATGTTGAACCAGGAACTGATTCAACTCTTCCATGAACCGGCCTAAAAACGGGTGAACCAGCCGCCCAAAGGGTGCCACACTAAACTCGCCGATTCACCTTGAACCGCCCACCTAAAATTTTCCTAAACCATCAAGTCTTTTAGCCTTCAACCCAACAGACCAGGAACCAGTCCAACTGCCCAGAGAATTGGCCTGAAAGGTCTCGACCGGCCGGTCAAACCTGGACGGTTCACCTGCCCAAAACCCTAACCCTAAATATTTAATTAAATACTTCTAGTTTATTCAATCCCTACTATCCCCAATCAACCCTTATCCCGATTACCTTATCCTCAAGGACAACATATTCCAACTTTCGTTGAGTCAACCCGGATGAGTTGATTCATTTTCAACAACTCAAGGCTGAGTTGACTCTCCGAGTCAACTCGGCCCTACCTTCCAAGCCTGTCGGGTCTGGGCTAGCCTTCAGCCCAGACTGTGGATCTACTCCCCTCCAGCCAGGCCAGGCTTGGCCCGAGTAGGCCCGACCCCGCCAAGGCAGGACCCACCCTTCCGGGTCCTGTTTTCCTTACCCGGCGACCCGGGTCTCAGACCCGGGTGCCTGTAATAACACCCGGTAGCCAAAAAAAACCACAAAATCCCCAGGAAAAAGGCTTACCTAGCTATGACGACACTCGGAAGACAGAGACCCAAGCCCATGCGAGCTCTACAAAGCTTTCAAACATACCAATTTCCCAATCAAGCCTAAAAACCAAACAGAAATCCCTCACAAACCCGTCGGACCACCGACCTCTTTAACCCCAAATTCCCCCTCTCTCTCACATGATAGTAGAAATCAACTGGGGGGTTACGTTCGCTCGACTAAATAGGCCTAAAAGGTGAAAAAATCCAAAGCAAAAGGCTGCAAATCGTTGGTGCATGTTAATCGCGCAGGTCAACGGCCAAATTGCAAATCTTTGTTTTTTCCTTTATAATTATTGTCAAGTCCTCACTTCTTGTTTCTCTTTCACTTTGGTCCCTAGTCTTTAGAATTTATTCAATTAGCCCCCTTTTTCTTATTTAATTCTTAATTAATTAAAATTTTCTATTATTGGGTCATAACATTCTCACTATAAATTTCAAGAAAATTGAACCTGTCCCAAGGTGTAATTCATTGAATTAATAACCCATATCATAACAAATAAATAATCACTAGAGGAAAAAACACATCTATAGAATAAGTATTATCATTCATTGTACAACATAAAAACCAAAAAACTAAAAACACTAAATAATCTCAGTGGTCAAAACACGTCTCCTCGTTACCACAATGATATAATATCAAAACCAAAATCAAAACGTAGACCACTTAAATACTCAATTCCCTAAATCAGCCCTTGGCACATATCTCAAGGTTCATTACTTAATATCTTGACCCAAAACGAGCAAGAATATGACTAATCTTATGTAAAAAACTCTTAAACTGAAATGAACTAATCTCAAATATTCCCGAACTGGCCTGAACTAGTCTTAAAAGCCACTGAACCAAACTCAATTATCACTAAACTGGCCTCCAATACCATTAAACTATATAGAACCAGCTTTAAATGTTCCTGAATTGATATGAACACACTTTAAACTCCCCTAAACTGGACTGAACTGAGCCAAAACCCTCTAGAACTAGACTGAACTAGACCAAAATTCCTCAAAGCAGAATAAACCACACTAGAATTCTCTAGAACTAGATTGAACTAAGCCAAAATCTCTTAGAACTGGACTAAACTAAACTAGAATCCTTTAGAATCAGATTGAACTAGACCAAAATCTCCTTAAATTGGACTGAACTTGACTAGAATCCTCTAGAACCAAATTGAACTGGACCAAAATCCCCTAATTGAACAATTTGCTTATTAATGGAGGATTTGGAAGCACCATCATCAAACTCATAGCCTTTTGTTTTTCCTTTGATTCATTTCATTAGAAAGCATCATTAGTGGTTAGACTAGCCACCACACAAAAGGAGGCAATAGTGGGCCCCGCTTCATTTACATCCTCTTGTAGCACTTATGCTTTCCTTTTGCATTACTTTGAATTTGTTTGATTTATTAACAATACCTCATTAAATATGATTAACAAAATGATACTTGTATTTGGAGAACAGTAGTATGAAAGTTTAATATTGTTAAATCATTTGGCAAGGTTCCTTGCTTTCTGTTTTCTATTTTAATAAGAATAAGTTTTTGTTTTGTTTTCAGGAAAATGAAAACAAGAACAATTTTTGATAATTTCCATTTGTTGCATTTACAAAATATATTGAAAAAGAATTGTCACTTGATACTTTATTTTATTATTTAAATATTCTCTCCACTACAAATTTGCTAATCTCTCACCAAGATTTTCTCTTTTTACACTTCCTATATATTTTTGATCCATGTCATAACATTGTAAAGTTCTCTTTTGATAGATATTCATTAACTCAAATTCTCTTTTAACATTGATACCTATATAATAAGTGATAATATTCATAGTTTTCTTGATAATTAAATTTATTTTTTAAAATAAATAACTTTTTAATGCCTATTTATGTTATTTATAGGTTTGGGAGATTTTGATCCATCCCCAACGAATTTGGGCTTTAAATTGGGTATTCTTTCAGCAGGTGCATTGGGCCAGTAGCATTTTGACGAGGATAATGAATTTGTGGGCTTAAGGAAGGTGTTGGGCCGAAAATGAGGAGTGCACATAGGAGAAAAGTTATTGCTAGTGAAGTTCTTACCCCTAACAAATCAAATCTTGCCATATGTTGGAAATTTTTGATAGTCAAGAATTCAAATCTCAGTTGTTATATTTTTTTAATAAATAAATCTTGCTATCTTTTGGATAATCTTGAATATGAGATCTTATATCATTATATCACTCTTGGAGGGAAATAATAACTACCCAAAGCCTCTTGTTCTTTTTTTTTTCTTTTTTTTTTAAATTTTAATTTTTTTTTTTTTGGTATAAAATCATCTTGTTTGCTAGTCCCAAGACAAAAAAGGAAAGAATCATTTGTATTGTATAGTCTTGAAGAGTCTCAGAGACAACATAAACAATTGTAATAAAGCAATGTTAATTAAGACGTGCTTTTAATTCTAGATAGAGAGAGACTAGACTCAAGCTTAGTAGGCCTTGAAGAGATTGGGGAGTGGTGGTGTTAGAGGGAAGGAAACTTGGAGAAAAATAGACGGTGATTACTGCTTATATAGTTAACTAAAGGAAACATAGTGACAATATTTTAAAGGAATAACAGTCTCCTAAACTCAAAGCAAATTGATCATCATTTTGAAATTCAGATTTTACAACAATACTTTGTTAACCAAGTTGTCCAAACTAAAAGTTGATGAACCACCTAGACTAGTAGCCTCATTTGCCAATTTCTTCCACTCCATGGCCCTCTTCTTCATCTTTTACCTTGCTCACCTTCCATTAATTCCCTTACAAGCTTTTTGACCTCCTCTCTCTTCACATCTTTGTCAATCTCCATACCTATCTCCCATTCCCTACATAAGTACCTGCAATTTGTCATCTGATCCCCAATGAATGGCCAACACAACATGGGAACTCCAGCATTAATGCTTTCAACAATTGAATTCCACCCGCTGTGAGTTAAAAATCCTCCAATTGAAGGGTGGTTTAGGACTTCCTCCAGCGGACACCAGCTCCGATTAGACCTCTGTCCTTAATTTCCACAGTAAATTCAGGTGGCAAGATAGCAGAGTCACCCATGATCAAATTAGGTCTAATTATCCAAAGGAAGTAATGGCAACTATCAGCAAGTCCCCACACGAACTCTATAAGTTCTTCTTCTGTCATGCCGGTTGAGCTCCCAAAATTTACATATACCACAAACTCTACCCCCTTGGAGTCTAGCCAACATAAACACTCTGATTCTTCTCTCCAAATGCTGTAGCCTAAAGACTTTAGCTTTTCATCCATGTCTGAAATTTGATTGAGATGCAACTAAATGGGACCAATAGTATGCACTTGTGGGAACATTGATGAGCACATGCAAAACATTTACCTCTAATGCATCAAATGTATGAATGATATTAGCTGAAGCTTTGGCAGTATATTGTGTTGATTTTATGTAGGCATTATACCATATGTCATTTGGATAAGTGGTTCGGAAAGGGCTTGGAAGATCCCTAAGACGGATATCTTTCATTCCTGGAATTTGGTCAATAATCTTTTCCAAGTGTCCCTTTGTCAAATAGCTTGCATCTACACAAAGTTAACAAATTCTAAATTAAAAGGTCTCAAATATTATTGTTGGAAAATTTGGGTCAGATCCGGTCCACTCGTAACGGGTCAACCTAACCCATTTGATTTGAATTTGAAAGGGAAGTTGTAACTTACCATAACTCCCTCCATCTATCTATAAATATAAGTTTTATATACAAAATGGAGGTTGGAATTTCTAACAATAAGTGTATATCTCTCTCTCTCAAAATTACTCTCTCCAAAATATATGTCAAAGGCATTTAACTTGTGATTGTGAAGATTTGATCCATAGTGATCGTATCTCGATAGAAAGCAAGTAGAAAAGAATCGATCCAAAAATCTGTTGCAAATCATCTGAGATAAATCAATTTCAAATTATATTCTAAGTTTTTAAAATTAACAAATGGTATTAGAGCAAGTATTATTCTTTTCTCTTGCATGAAAATTTATTGATGAATCAACAATGATTATTATATGTGTGGATCGAATTATGCATTCATAATTTTTCTACAATAACCTTGTATGAATGTGATCACACAGTGAAAATTTCATAATTTTCTGTTGAGCAAACAAAAAGATATGAACTTTTGTTCATAAATGAGGCATAATTTTTGAAAATTCATTTCTTCTTACGTATTCAAAATCATGAGATGAAATTTATACTGTTGGATGGAGTTTGAAAATACATTTGATTTGATATATCATATGTTGAAAATAGACAACTGTGTGATTTTCTATGATATTTTGAAATTTCGGTTTGTTTTTTGTGTATTTCTTGATTTTAGAAATTTAGAAAATCATTTATTATTAAACCCACTCTTGGCTTCTCAATTTTGAAGCCCAAACTAAGACCTATACTTCTCAAAACACAATTTTAAGTCCACCATTGGATTTAGAAGGGTTGAAAACCTTGGGGGGGGGGGGGGGTAGTCGAAACCAAAAGTTCATAAAATACAAAAAAAGGTGGCGTGTGCGTCACACGCGCCAATAGAGCGTGTGGGAATAGTTACTAGTAATTACATTCAATAACCACCACGTCCCTAACACGTGTCCCACTACCATGGCAACACGTGGTGTAAAGTCGACGTGGCGTAACTGCCACTTATCGCCACATGTCATTCTCTCGATAAGACACGTGGCACCAGAAAGACACGGGGCGATCAGTTGGCTAACATGGCCTGTGACCTATCGATGACATGGTGAGACACATGTCAGACATGTGGTGACATGTGGCATGATTTTGTTGATGTGTCTGTGACATGGCATGCTGACGTGGCGGGAAAATAAATATAATATAATATAATATAATATAAAAAAATAAAAAAGAGCTGCCATATTATTTTGACGTGTGTGGGCACATAGAACCTCCGATTGGCGCGTGGTTTTCTCCGTTGTGATCAGAATTTGATTTCCTATTTTTTGGGTAATTTTATTTAATTTTTTGATGTTATATTGATATTTAGAATGAATTTTTCTAAGTGAAAAATATTTATTTAATTAGGGAAATAAAGGTTTAGGGTTTAATATAATTCCCTAAATGCTAGAAATGAGTCCAAAATTGAATTACCTATATTTTTGGAATTCTTTGATTAATTTTTCAGGGTTTCTAATTATTTTTCTTAGTGAAAAATACTTTAAAAATTAGTTGAAATGTGTAAAAAAAAATTTTAATTTTTTTTAAAAATTCCATGGGACTTCATATATGACCTATGTGCATATGGTGCAGTAATTTAATTTTTTTGGAATGATTTAAGTTGATTTTGTATCAACTTGTCGATTTTGTACTAACTATTGCTTTGTGATTTGTAATTGTAAAATTGTTCCAGATGGCGAGATGGATTACCACTATGACACAAAGAGATGTCCTTCGAAATAACATTAGAGAAGTTATTGAGGGACTCCGATGTCGAAGTAATACTAGTATGAGGAGTTTTATATTACATCTCAATAGACTCATAGAATTTTTAAAAGAGTAAGCATTTCCAGTGTTAGATAATTATAAGATTTGGGCTTTAGACGATTCACTCCCCAATTTCTTTTCTGAGATAGTGCATAAGATATGGCATGAGTATGATGAGCATATCTCATATATGGCATGGTTAGAGAATATTTAGATTGTATTGACTTTATGACTTTGCGGAATGAAATCATACCGCATGTTGACTACGACCCTAATGCTATAGGGGACGACTTTGAGAGTGATCCTGAAAAAGAAATTCCTGACATTGGAAGTAATAGTGATAGTGTCCAACCATTCTAATTAATGATGTCAGTGATAAAATCGAACCAACCACAAAGGAAGAATAAAAAAAGATCATAGAAACATTTGAAATCAGGAATTATTGCAATACTTTTGTCATTCTTATTTACATGATTATGATGTTTTTTCTCATCATTGGCTGTATTATTTATGTTGCATGAAAACAACTAAATGTAATATTTTTGATTTTATGAAACTATTATGTTTATGTAAAATCTATGTGTTAGATTATACAATTCTTTGTGAATTATTAATTTTATTTAAAGTAAACTGAAAGTAAAAAATGAGACTTGTGATTATGGATGGTGGGTGAAAAGTCTAGCGACCACTTGATTTCATGTCACATGTTAAATTCAGTAACTTGTTGGTTATTGCTTTTAAACAAAATTAGAATATGTGTTGTGCTAAAACTAAATGAAATGTCTTTATAAATTATGGTTTTGAAGAGTATTATTACTGAAATAAATAAGGGTGATAAGAAACTTAACGGTGAAAACTATCATATTTGGCACTTAAAAATATAATATGTGCTTGAAGAGCAAGAAGTTCTAAAAGTAGTCAACCAAACCATGAGTGATCCTAGTGAGGGCAATACAGCTCAAAACCGGCATGATCAAGAGGCCTACAGGGTCTAGAAAAAGAAAGATTTCATAGCAAAATGCATACTTATAACTTCAATGGAGCATGACCTCATTTGTGAACACGAGCAATACGCAATGCTCATGAGGTCTAGATTTCCTTGAGAGAGAGGTTTGGTGAAATTACCGCAAGTAGACTATGTCAGTTAACTATCAAGTTTGGTGGAATTATTGCCTTAGTATGAAAATTGTGATGTATTAAGATTATCATGACAAGAGTCTTTGTTGACCACATCATGTGTAAGTGGGAGATGTTGGAAAATTTGAGTCAGATCCGGTCTGCTCGTAACGGGTTAACCTGACCCATTTGATTTGAATTTGAAATGGAAGTTATAACTTCTCATAACTCCCTCCATATATCTATAAATATAAGTTTTATATACAAAATGGAGGTTGGAATTTCTCACAATAAGTGTATCTCTCTCTATCTCTCAAAATTATTCTCTCCAAAATAAACATCAAATGCATTATAACTTGTGATTGTGAATATTTGGTCCATAGTGATCGTATCTCGACAGAAAGCAAATAGACAAGAATTGATATAGAAATCCGCTACAAATCCATATTTTGGTAAATCAATTTTGGATTAGATTTTAAGTTTTTAAAATCAACAATTATGATTTAAATAAGTTAAGAAGACATATAAGAAAGAGCTTGGAGCATATACCATTTAATGGTGCTATGCCTTTATGTTTGAGGGCCTTGAACTGATAAGATGCCATGAAAGCACAGGTAGGGATGGGCCAGAGTAGAATGATAGGCACTCCAGTCTTTTGAGCAGCTTCCATGGTGAACGGCATAAATCCATCCGAGATAATAGCGGTAACCGGAGGATTGTGGGAAAGAGTGGCATCATCACTAGGTTTGGTGAGAAGGTTCAAAACCTAAGTTGCTCAATTATCTTCAAGGGTTTGCCAAAGGAAATTATAGTCTTGGGAGGCATTAGAAAAGGAAGGCAACGCATCCATTATTGTCTCGAATTTGTAATCATCTGGCAAGATATCCAATGCAGGGGATTGTCCAGCACTGAGTGCTTTTGATTGTACGCTGTGTTAACTAAAGTTATGTAAAAGCCCCTATGGTGGAGGAGCTTTGCTAGTTTTAATATTGCCATCATATGGTTCTGAGCTGGAAATGGTATACAAACGACATGACGTTTGTTCTCTGCCATGCATGAAAATCACTCTGGCTTGGCGTATCTGTTCCAAAGCCACAAAATGTCCAATATATAAAAGGGATACATTGTAATAAGTTAATAATATTTTTTAATTTGAAAATCGAAAAGCTCAAGAGCTAACTTTGTTTGACTAATGGAGAGCTTGGAAAGAAAGAAAATATAATGCCTTGGATGTTATGAAATTGGTAAATGAAAAGGTTTATTTGAATATATATATATATATATATAGCTTTCATAGTTTACCTAATGAACCGGCTTCTTTCCACTTTCTAGTGGGCTTTTTTTTTTTAACAACACATCCGTCTACACCGTAGCATTGTTTATTGTTTACTTTTGGCCACTAAATGTAACAAAAGTGAACAATACTTTTTTACTAATAAATACAAGCCATATGTGTTGTTATCGCGTATTGATGTGTCATGACTCGTATCGTCAGCTTTAGCCAAGGCATTCAACTTTCAAAAAAAATATATTTATGTTTAATAATTTTTCCTTTTTTTAATTTGTGTTTTTTAGGAGCTTAACAAATTCAACTTTTCAAGTTCATACAAAATTTATATTGTCTTTCCAAATCATAATAAATTGAACTTTTCCATTACATATATTGAATAAAACTAATTTATTCTTTGAAATGTACAGG